GCAATATTTTTGGCAAATAGCTGCTCTTAGGGAAATCTCCTGGAAAAAAATGTGGCCGAGCGTCCCATGATTAGAGCGAATAGAATAGTGTTTAGTATAAACTGGGCGTGCCTGAGTTTCATACAATATTTTTTAAGTGTACAATCCAGTAGCTTTTAATATATCCACAAAGTTGTACAACTTTCAACTCTATATAATTTCAGATTCAAGTTTTTGAAACAATAAGCAATTTCCATGAAATAAAAAAAAAAGATGAGGAAATTGAAGAGTTCTACCAGCTTTTGCTTTCAGAAATTAATTGACATGCAATAAAGATTAATTAATAATAATTGTGCCTGGATTACAAAAGTTGGGAACAAGAGAGAAGACTAATAATTGGAAATTATGGAGTTGGTGGCAGAAATTAGGTTGGAGCCCAAATGACCAAATTTTACATAACCAATGACTTATTCATTGAAAATATCTTTTTAAAAAACACAAATGAAGGGAGCTCTGGTGGCCTAGTGGTAAGACGCTGCACTGCAATCCCAGAGGTATGCACTTCAAATCCACCAGATGCTCTGCTGGAGAAGGAGGGGGCAATCTCCTCCTGTACCAGTCAGATCTGATTTGACGGTACACATAAAAATAATACAATAAAAAGTAAAAAAAACCCACAACAACCCACAAATGGTGGCTATACACATGGACCTCACTTGATGAGCTACAAAGGAATCAAATTGACAATGTTTGTAAAAATAATCATTGAAGAAACTCTATCAGCAGTCAATACCAGGCCAAGTACTGACTGTAGAACAAATAATCAACTACTCTCGTGCAAGGTCAGATAGAACCTGAAGAAAATATACACAAGATTGCAAGAACTGAAATATGACTTGAACTTAAAAAGCACCTGAAGGATATAGGCTCACAACATTGGACATTAATCAATGAAACCTGATGAGCTGTAGGATATCAAAGTTACTGTCCATGAAAAGAAAAAAATTTGCTACATAAAAAAAGTCAGGGACAGAGGAGAAAGAGAGAGATCAAAATGGATATATCAGAAGAGATTCTGAAAATTACACGGGAATGACAAGAATCCAAAACAAAGGGAAGAAATGACAAAGTAAAAGAGTTGAACAGATTTCAAAGAGCAGCTCAAGAAGACAAAATATTATAACTTAATAGGCAAAGAATTGGGGTCAGACAATGAAAAAGCAAAGAACTTGCTTGTCTTCTTTCAAGCTGAAAGAATTGAAGCACAAATTCCAAACTCAAGTTGTAATACTGAAGAATACCGTGGGCAAAATCTTGAATGATCCATGAAGCTTTATAAAAAAAAGATGGTAGGAATACACAGTCACTGTACCACAAAGAATTGGCTGACACAGAGCCATTTCTGGAAGTAGCATCTGATCAAGAATCAATGGTGATAGAGGAGGAAATTCAAGCTGCCATGAAAACATTGGCAAAAAATAATGACTAGGAATTGAGGAAATACCAATTGACATGTTCCAACAAACAGATGCAGTCTTGGACTTGCTCATCAGGCTGTGCCAAGAAATCTGGAAGACAGCTACCTAGCCAACTGACTGGAAGAGATTAATATTTATTTCCATTCCTCAAAAAAGATGATCCAAAAGAATGTGGAAATTATCAAACAATATCATTAATATCACATGCAAACACATCTTGCTGAAGATTATGAAAAACTTGCTAAAACAGTAAATACACATTGAGAGAACTGCTAGAAGTTCAAGCTGGGTTTAGAAGAGGTCATGGCACCAGAGATATCATTGCTAGTGTCAGATGAATCTTGGTTGAAAGCAGAGAATATCAGAAGGATGTATTTGTGTTTATTGACTATGCAAATAACTTTGACTGTGTAGATCACAACAAATTATGGCTAATATTGAGAAGAATGGGGATCCTAGAACACTTAATTGTGCTCACATGAAGCCTAAACGTTGACCAAGATGCTGTTGTCAGAATGGAGCACGGGAACACCGCAGAGTATAAAAGAAAGAAAAGTGAGCATCATGGCTGTATCCTTTCTCCATTTCTATTCAGTCTGTTTGCTGAATAAATAATCCAAGAAGCCAGACTTTGTGAAGAAGAATGTAGCATCAGGGTGGGAGGAAGATTCATCAACAACTTGAAATATGCAGATGACACACCTTGCTTGCTGAAGGTGAGGAGGACTTGAGACAGATCAAGGACTACAGCCTTCAATATAGATTATATCTCAACATGAAAACAAAAATCCTCACCACTGAGCCAACAGGCAACAAGGTAGATGAAGAAAACATTGAAGTTGTCAATGATTTCATTTTACTTGGAACCACAACCAATATCCTTGGTACCTGCAGTCAAGAATTCATAAGATAAGTTGTTGATGTTGTTATGTGCCATCAAGTCGTTTGGGACTCATAGTGACCCTTTGTACCAGAGCCCTAAATGCTGTTCTATCCTGTGCCAACCTCGCTGTCTCAAACACATTCATTCCTACCACTCCACTCACAGAATCGATCCATCTCATCGAGGGTCTTCCTCTCCTGCGCCATCCCTTCACTCTCCCAAACATGATGTCCCTCTCCAAGGACCAGTCCCTCCTTGCAACATGCCCAAAGTATGTCAGACCAAGCTTCAGAATCCTTGACTCCAGGGAATATTCTGGCTTCACCCTCTCCAGGACAAACATGTTTGTTCTCCTAATAGTCCATGGTATATTCAACACTCTTCTCCAGCACCACAGCTCAAAGGCATCAATTCTCTTTCTGTCATCCCTATTCACTGTCCAACTCTCCGATGCATAGCATGTAATTGATAGACTATAGCCTGGATCAGGTGCACCTTAGACTCCAGCCTGACATCATTGCACTTCAGTACTCTTGAGAGGTCCCTCACAGCTGACTTTCCCAATGAAATTTGTCTCCTGATTTCCTGGCTGCTGTTACTAAGAGTGTTGACTGTGGAGCCAAGCAAACTAAAACTAATAACTGTCTCAATTTCTTCACCATCCATACTGATGCTGCCTGTTGGCACAGTGGTGAGAAACTTTGTTTTCTTGATGTTCAGCTTCAGCCCATATAGGAGGCTACGGCAAGCGCTTCACATCCTCCTCAGTTTCAGTGAGCAGGGTTGTGTCATCTGCATAACGCAGGTTGTTGACGATTCTTCCACCGATCCTGATGCCACAATCCTCCTCGTACAGCCCAGTGTCTCAGATGACCTGTTCTGCATACAGATTGAAAAGGTATGGAAACAAAATTCATCCCTGACGGACCCCGTTCTTGATTTTGAACTGAAGTTGAGGAAAATTAAGTCAAGTCCACGGGAACCAAGATTTGACCTTAAGTCTGCCCCACTCGAATTTCAAAACCATCTCAGGAACAGGTTTGAGGCCTTGAGCACCAATGAGCATAGACCAAATGACCTCTGGGAGGATATCAAGAAAATCATCCATGAAGAATGCAAAAGATCATTCAAAGGCTAAAGAAAAAGAAAAGACCAAGATGGATGTCAGATGAGACTCTGAGTATTGCATTAGAGTGCCGAGAAGCCAAAGCTAAAGGAAGAAATAAAGAAATCAAAGTGCTGAATAGAAAATTTCAAAAGGCAGCTCAGGACAACAAAGATACTATAATGAAATGTACAGAGAGCTGGAGTTAGAAAATCAAAAGGGCCGGACTCGCTCAGCATTTCTTAAGCTGAAGGAGTTGAAAAACAAATTCAAGCCACGGGTGGCAATATTTAAGGATAGTTTGGGTAGAATATTGAATGATCCAGGATGTATAAAAAGAAGATGGAAGGAGTACACAGAGTCACTGTATCAGAAGGAATTGGCTGACACAGAGGAATTTCATGAAATAACAGATGAGCAAGAACCTATGGTGATGAAGGAGGAAGTTCAAGTTGCTATGAAGGAATTGGCAAAAAACAAGACTCCAGGAGTTGACTGCATACCAATTGATTTATTTCAACAAACAGACACTGCCCTGGATGTGCTCACTAGGTTGTGCCAGGAATTCTGGAGGACAGCCAGCTGGCCAACTGACTGGAAGAGATCAATATTTGTTCCCATTCCAAAGAAAGTTGACCCAACAGAGTGCGGAAATTATCAAACAATATAATTGATATCACATGCAATCAAGATTCTGCTGAAAATGATCCAAAAACGCTTGGAACAATATGTCAACAGAGAACTGCCAGATGTGCAGGCTGGATTTAGAAGAGGTCTCGGTACTAGGGATGTTATAGCTAATGTAAGATGGATCTGGGCAGAAAGCAAAGAATACCAGAAGAATGTCTATCTGTGCTTCATTGACTATGCAAAGGCTTTTGACTGTGTGGATCACAACAAGCTGTGGCTGTCTCTGAGAAGAATGGGAATCCCAGAACATTTGATTGTGCTAATGTGAAACCTATACTTGGACCAAGAGGCAGTCGTCAGAACAGAGCAGGGAGACACTGGATGGTTCAAAATCAAGAAAGGGGTCTATCAGGGATGTATTTTGTCCCCATACCTTTTCAATCTTTCTGAATAAGTTATACTGGAAAAATCTGCTGTGAGGGGCTGCTCCATGGTACTTAAGCGTAATAATATCAGTTTAAAGACTAAAGTGCACCTAATGCAAACCGTAGTCTTCTCAATTACTTGTTATGCTTCTGAAAGTTGAAAATGATGACAAAAGAAGAACCAATACTTTTGAGTTGTGGTGTTGGAGAAGAGTACTGAATAGTCTAGGGACTGCCAAGAGAGTTAATAGATGGCCTTGAAGAAAGTGAAAACAGGGTGCTGCTTGGAGGCATAATAGCCTCATTTGAAACTTTGTCTCATATATTTTGGGCATGTTGTAAAGTGGCAGTGGCCATGCGCCCTGAATCATTTGTGCCGAGGCTGGTCCCCATCAGTAAGGTTGGTGAAGACATCCTGCTTGGAAAAGTGGAAGACAACATAAGAAAGGAAGTACCACAACAAGATGATTTGTTTCAGAGTGACTGCAACAATGGTCTTGAGTGTGTTCATGATGGTAAGGATGGCACAGAATAGGGCAAGGTTTAGATCCACTGTTCCTATGAGTGGTCATTGTGAGTCACAGTTGACTGGATTACACATAACAACAATTGCAACAACAACTTTTTAAAATTACTTTTCTTTTTGGAAGGACAGCATGTCCAGGTCTTCTACCTGAATTTTATAAGTTATGGTTTCAAGTATCCTTGTTGTTGTCAGAACGAACACATAACTGACCGTCAATGGGGTTTTCAGAGGCAGTAAATTACTCAGGAGACTGCTAATTCTTCTTCCATGTTTCAGGAGCAGGTAGCTACACTGAGAGCTGAATCTCACATACTAACAGATAATTGAAAATTACTTTTACAGTTATTTTCCATCTTGTAAATGAGCTGTAAGTCCTTATTTGGAGAATGGTGTAAATGAGAGAATATGTAGGAGGAAAAGTAATAATTAAAATGCATTAGATTTTTTTGGGGGGAAACAATGCATTTTATTTTCATGGCTGTTGAACTGTTGAGTCTATTGTAATGATGGCTCATCCCAATTAATTTTTTTCTTTTCACTTTTATTTATTTACCTATTTGCTTGTTGACTTTTTAATTTGAGTAAAGGTTGCACATGACACGACATTTTTAATAATTCATAAACATTTAGTTTTGTGATGTGAATGAAAATTGATTAATGTAATAAATGACAATGTCTTCTCAAAGCCTTACATCAAAGCATCCTTGTACTTTTAAGCCATTTATTTTTTAAAATGTGTTTAATTCCTTGACAATTTTCTTTCTTTTTTAATACATTTTTTATTTTAATTGTGATTTTAACAAAAGTTTACAGGAAAGTTAGATTTTCATTCATTAATTTTTGTACATTTTACCCCCATCTCTTCCTTTCCCCTCCTGTAGCTCACTTAAAAAAAAAAAAACCAATCATTGTTCACAATCACCTCCCCTTCCCCAGTCCTCTTTGCAATGTTCCTCTAATTCTGGACTGTTGTTATACATAAAATGCCTAATCATATATTCCTTTCAAATAGTACTTTCCTTCATCTATTCCAATGTAATGTTCATTATCTATCCACTCTTATTCTATTCTCCTCCCAATCCTCCATGCCAGACCTGCTTTATAACAGTGGTGCTATGCAGTATTTGTCCTTTTGTGACTGAGATATTTCACTCAGCATAATGTCCTCCAAGGTCACCCATGTTGTGTAACGTTTTACAAGTTCATTGTTTTTCATTGTAGGAAAGTATCAGAGTTTTTCTATCCATTGTTTGTTGATGGGCACTTGAGTTGCTTGATCTCTTTGCTATTGTATGCAAACAATGCAAAAATAAACATAGGTGTGTTTGGGTGTCGGTTTCTTTAGAGTATATTCCAAGAAGTGGCATTGCTGGGTCAAAAGGTATTTCTATTTCCAACTTTTTGAGAAAGTGTTAAACCACCTTCCACAGTGGTTGCACCATTTTACAGTCCCACCAGCAGTGAATAAGGGTTCCAATCTCTCCACAACCTCACCAGCATTTATTGTTTGCTGCTCTGTTGAACTTTGCTATTATTGCTGAGGGGAGATGATGTCTCATAATTGTTTTTAACCAGTCAATTTAAGATTTATATAAGAATTTTTCCTAACTTTTCATTCCTGTTGTATTTAGGATCTCCATGTGATCCTTCTTTCCTTTTGGGATGTGTTCCCTGCAATGTAATCTGCTCAGTCATTTTCCAGAGTCGTTTTGAATACAATGATGAGAAATTTTTAACTTTAATGAAATATTTTCATCAGAATTTTGAAATTGTGAGCACCCCCTGGGTACAGGTGAGTTAAAATTATCTTTAAATGAGAAACTATAAGTAATTTTTCAGCAAATCTATTAGGCTATCTTTGTGCTTTAATTTGAATTAGCTAGACAAATGTTTTTTAAGCTAAAATTTGTAAACCACTAGTAAGTTATTATATCAATTGAACGAGTTAAAGTAAAATTTAATAGATGATGTAGAGTAAAAAGAAAATATTAGAATGCATCAATTACACTAACATGTCCTTTTGAGGAAACCTTAATCTGTGGGTTCAATTATATTCTTCTTCCTGCCCCCCAGTATATTAAAGTCATAACTTCGATACCTATGAATGTGACCCTATGTGGATATGGAGTTTTAAAAATTGTAGCCATTCAAATGATGATAAATTTATATTGGAATATTATTGAAGAATTTTTTAAAGACCTGAGCAGAGGTGGGAGAATGCCTTCCTTGAGCTATTAAAGACTGGTAAAGACAGCATCTTTCCTTGGAGACTGCAAAGACTGTGTGGATCATAACAAATCATGGCTAACATGGAGGGGAAAAATGGGAATCCTAGAACCCTTAATTGTGCTCATGTGAAACCTATACAAAGACAAAGGAGTAGCTGTCTGAACAGAACAAGGGAACCCTGCACAGTTTACGAACCGAGAAAGGTGTGTATCTGGGTTATATCCTTTGTCTATCCTTATTCAGTCTGTATGCTGAGCAAATTATTCAAGAAGCTGAACTATATGAAGAAGAATGTGGCATCAGGATCAAGGCAATACTCACCAACAACACGTGTTATGCAGATGACACAAACTTGCTTGCAGATAGTGAAGACTTGAAGTACTTCCAGAAGATTAAAGTCTTTTGTATGGATTACATCTCAACTTCAAGAAAACAAAAGTATTCACCACTAGACCAATAGACAACATCATGATAGATAAAGGATGAAAATTGTCAATTATTTCATTTTACTTGAATCCACAGGCAACACCTGGGGTAGTAGCAGTCACGAAATCAAAAGAAATATTGCACTGGGGAAATCTGCTGTCAAGGACATCTTGAAAGTTCTAAAGAGCAAGGTTGTAATTTTAAAGATTAAGGTACACCTGTACAAGGCTTGGTCTTTTTAATTACTTGAATAATGAGACATTTTCTAGTTGAAAGATGAATAAGGAAGGCCAAAGGATTGATGTCTTTGAATTATGGTGTTGGTGAAGAGTATTGAATATTCTATAGACTGCCAAGCAAGGTGGGGGGATGATTGGGTGGAGTAGGGGCAACACTGAATCCACTGGTTCCTTCTGTAAGGAGTAAGTGTCTTTCATCTGCTCCTTTTGGTAAAACACTAGTTTGTCAGGTTTATTTTAGAGCGGTTGTTGTTATGTGTTGTGGAGTTGCCTGCTACTCGTAGCGACCCCGTGTACAACAGCTCTGAAGCCTGCCCTGTCTTGAGCCAGTCTTCCCCCCACCCCCCGCCCCGTGTAGTATGCAAAGTAGTTCTTATTTATCATGTCATATTGTAATACTGTCGTTAATACTCAGACTGAAGAACAGGTTCACAGAGAACAGCAGGCAGGGTTATTAGTCCGGGTGGAGGGTGGCCCATAAAACAGAGAAAAGAGGCAGCTACTTAAGAGTCACTATTAAAAAAAAAAAAGTCACTATTCCTTGGATGCCAACTTCTGGTGCAGCTGTCACTGTGTTTATGCAGGTACCAATATTAAGGGAGGTGGTTACCCATTTTGGCCAATTAGAGGATCCAGATACTTTTGTGGTTGCCTGACAGAGTTCTTATTAAAGGTCAGGTGTCAGGTAGCAGGTAGCAGATAGTAGGCACTAGGTAAGCAGGTAGGCAGTGGGGCCTCCCCCTCCTCCCCCATTCCCCTCCCCACAACAGAATAGTATCCTTATGAGAAGATCCTAAGGTGGAGCAATTCCAGAATGCAAAGTGGGACTGGACATAGCCGGGAAGATGAGAAACTGTAGTCACCATCTAGAAATACTAGTCTTTACAGCTGTTGCTCCCGGTAGCCTGCACATCCTCTTTGCCGCCTTCTCCATTAAACCCGTTAACATGCAGGATCCTCATCTGCTTCACAATGGTGCTTTCACCAGATTCTCCAGCATCCAGAAGCAACAGGTAGGGCGTGGCTGGTAGACCTGCTTGTCCTTCTGCAGCTGCTTCTTGATCTTGTTGGCCTCGCGCTGCACCTTCTCCTCGTTGTGCTGGTCCTCCGTCTTGCTGTTGCCGAGACAGCCCGTCTTGTTGTTGCCGAGACATCCCGTGGTGGACTGCAGCGGGGGCGGTTGGTGCGAGGGCGTGTGCCCCCCAAGAAGGCCAGAGGGGGAGACGCCAGGAGAGCGAGAGCCACGGAGCTGCTACCCCTGAGGGGTTTTTAAAGCCAACGCCTTTGAGCAGACTTCCACCCGAGGCAAAGGCTCAAGGGCACCTGCTCTTGGGGAGAAAAGAGCAATAATATACATCAAACATGACCCCCAAAACTTCCCTTTACTTGCCAATCAGGGCCGCCATCCCAAAGCAGCCATTTCATACACAAACAATATATTAATAATATTATTATCATACACAAGCAGTATATTAATAATATTATTATCATACACAAGCAATATATTAATAATATTACTATCATACACAAGCAATATACTGCTAAAGATGATACAACAACAACAACTAGAGCAATACATTGACAGAGAACTACCAGAAATACAAGCTGAGTTTAAAAGAGTTTGTGGCACTATCGCCAATGTCAGATGGATCTTTGTAGAAAGCAGAGAGAACCAGAAGAATGCCAGTGCTCTTTTGACTATGGAAAGCCTTTTGATTGTGTGGATCACAACAAATTTTGTTTAACTTTGAGGAGAATGGGAATCCCAGAACATTTGATTGTGCTCATATGAAACCTATATTCAGACCAGGAAGCAGCTCGTAGAACAAAGCAAGGAAACACTACATGGTTCAAAATCAGGAAAAGAGTGTGTCTGGGATGCATCTTGTCTCCATACCTCTTCAATGTATATGTGGAACAGTTCATTCAGGAGGCTGGACTTTATGAGGAGGAATGCGGCAACAGGATTAAAGGAAGACTCATCAACAACCTACGTCATGCAGATGACACAACCTTGTTTGCTGAAACTGAGGAGGATCTGAAGTGCTTGTTGCAGAAGGTCAAGGACTGTAGTCTTCAATATGGATTGAAGCTCAACATGAAGAAGGCAAAGATTCTCATCACTGGGCCAATTGCCAGCACTCTGACGGAGAAGAGATTGAGGCTGTTAACAATTTCAGTTTGCTTGGCTCCACAATCAACACTCTTGACACCAACTGTCACGAAATCAAAAGACGAATTGCACTGGGAAAATCTGCTGTCAGGGACCTCTCCAGAATACTGAGAAGAAACAATGTCAATCTAGAGACATAACAGTAACAACATGGACTGCCAAAAGAAGAAACAAATCAAGGATGGTGAAACTTCTTCGTCTTACTTACTTTGGATATGTTTTGAGGAGGAGGAACCAGTCCCTAGAGAAACACATCATGCTGGGAAAGGCAGAGCGTCTGCTAAAGAGACGACGATCCTGAAGGAGATTAATGTGGCGACTATTACAAGGAACTTGAGAGTGTCAGAGATTGTGAAGAGTGTGCAGGATAGGATAATGTTCAGATCTGTTGTTCACACTGTTGCTAGGAATCATAGTTGACTCAATGGCATCCAAGAGAAACAACGTGGAGGGAGGAATTCAGTGTACTGTTTACTAGAATGAGCCCTGAGCTCCACCAATGCTAATTTGGTGTCCTGAAATTTCTAACTTATCCATCATCAATATTTTCATTTGAAAAGAGGTGAAAACGGTGATATTCCAGAATTTCTTCAGCTACCGTTAATAAATTCAGATGGCTCTGAAATGGTTTTGAAAATTGTGCGTACTATAACTCTAGTAACCCTACGCGTGCCCTTTCCTTCAAACACTATTTCAGAATGAGAAGTGTGTCTTATTCATCTTTATCTATGTCACATGTGGTAATGTGTCTGATATGTAATATGGACCAGTAAAATTTTGCTATTTGAATTAATGAGTGATTCTTTCCTCTTCCAGTTCTGCAATGCTTTTCCTTTTGTCATAGATTACCTGCCCGGAAGTCATAATCAATTGTATAAGAATGTTGAGAAACAAAAGAATTTCATTTTAGACAAAATAAAAGAACACCAAGACTCTCTGGATCACAACCACCCTCGGGACTTTATTGACTACTTCTTGATTAAAATGGAACAGGTATAACATGAATTCTGAATTGTGACTTTATCTTTGAAAGGGATGTGGCCCAGAAAAAGCTTCCTTCTCTCTACTGAAATTAGAATATTAAAGCAAATGCTCCTTCCTACAGATATACAAATTGCTTGAGCAGTCTATAGCTTATATAAACTGTACTGGATGCTGTGGGAGATTTTGAAATTCTTACTGGAAAATGCTTTAACTCAAACTCAGTGCTATCAAGTTGGTTCCACCTGCTGTTGTTGTGTGCCTTCGAGTCAGAACCATTCCATAGCTGATCCTCCAGTGGATTTTCAGAGAAGTTAATCACATGGGAGGAGATTGCCCATCCTCCTCCCATGCAGTGCCCCTCCACCGGTATTGAAGTGGCACATCACAACAGGAGGAGTGTGCCTATCTTTCCCTCAGAGCCACTGGTAGTTTAGAACCATCAGAGACGTGAGTCTTTTGGGTTAACAGCACAACTGGATACAGAAACTGCTGAGAAGGACTGAAAATTGCCATGTCAAAGTTCTTCACTTGCGGTAGAGTGGAAAGCTCAAACACACAGATACACACTTACATTCAAGAATGATAATCACTTCTATGTCTTTATGTTTGAAAGAAATGTCATTAATGCAAGATTGGACAAATATAGGTACATCAGCATAAACGTGGCTGTAGATAGATTCTTCTTTGCAAATGCTTAGGGACTACTCACAGCTGGAGCAGATTTTGAGGTGACACTAGGTCAAGTTAATAACGAGGGCAAAATGATCTAGAAAATTATAAGTACGGTAATTAAGTGTGGGGAATTTCAGAAAGGTTACATTGATTGTAGCTGAGGAATTGTGATGGGTGTAATGACTTGTAAGGGTAGAATAATGCAATGGGGAATACTAATGCAGTGTGAGGGTTCTACAGGCTTGAGTGGGATATTTCTATTTTGTACAATAATCATGAACACAAATTGAAAGAGGTAACTTAATACAACTTATTTGACAGAAATAATAGATGAGCTATTTGGCTTTATGAGGCCAGGCATGGATCAGTGGTAGTGTTTTTACCTTCCCTGTGGGAGAGGCAAGTTCAATTCTCAGCAAATGCACTTCAAGCATGCTGAACAGAGTCTCCAGAAAATGACAAGTTATACAGAAAGACCTGTGATCTAGCTCTGAAAATCACCCGGCACATAGATCAGAATTATCTGAGCCTTTGTATGTGGTTGTCACCAGTCAGAAGCAAATTTGAGGAGGACAGCTTGAAGAGTGAAACAAAGACTTGTTGCAAACATTGAATTCAGATTGTGACTGTAGCAGTTAGAGGGGAATTGCAGCAACTGACCCAACTTTACCTCAACTATAGAACTCTGTAATGTCTGGCTTAATTTGCCAAATACAGAAGCTACTCTGTGCTATTTTATGTTACCTTTGTTGTAGTTATTAGGTGCTGTTGAGTCAAGTAGGTCTCATAGTGATCCTCTGGAACAATAGATCTGAACCCTGTCCTAGTCTGTGCCATCCTCACACTTTCTGACACATGTGAGCCCATTGCTACAGTCACTGTGTCAATCTATGCGGTGCATCTTCCTCTATTTCGCTGACCCTCCACCTTTCCAACCATAACGTACTTCTCCAAGGAACAGGCTCTTTTAACAACGTGTCCAACATATGTGAGATGAAAGTTTGTCATCCTTGTCTCCATGGAACACCTTCTTTGGTTTTCCCTTCCCTAAAACATATCTTAATATTTTTTAGCATCCCATGGGATATTTAGTATTTTCTCCAACACCACAGCTCAAAGGCACCGACTTTTCTTATGTCATTCTTATTCATTGTTCAGCTCTCAGCAGTACAGCAAGTGATTGAAAAGACCATGGCCTGATTTTGTCAATTAAGTGTAATGCTTCATTCTTAGGAAAAACACAACAAGCAGTCTGAGTTCACCATGGACAACTTAATCATCACCGTCTGGGATCTCTTCAGTGCGGGAACAGAAACAACGAGCACCACGATGAGATATGGTCTCCTGCTCTTGCTGAAGCATCCTGAGGTCTCAGGTATGATCACAGGTGAAGGGAAGGCAGGATCACATTCCAGGAAGAAATCTGCAGGTTGTGCTGGTAACATTTTACCTGCCAAATTCCATACAACAAACATTTCTACTATTACATCTACCTACTATTGGATGATTTCTTCCACAGATGTAGTAAAATTATTTTAGAGAAATCAGAAGATTTATTGTACTGGATAAGTCTGCAGTCGGGAATTCTCCAAATTATGGAAAAGCAATAATGTCAGTTTGAGGACTAAGGTGCATCTAATTCAGGCCATGATTTTTTCCCAATCACTTGCTATGTATCTGAGAGCTAGAAAATGCATAGGAATGACAGAAGAATTGGTGCCTTTGAGTTATGGTGTTGGGGAAGAGCACTGAACATCCCATGGACAGCCAAGAGAACAAATACATATGTCTTGGAGAGGGTGCAGCCAGACTGCTCTTCAGAAGCAAGGATAATGAGGCTTTGCCTTACATACTTTGGGCAAGTTGCAATGAGGGACTATTACATGGGAAGGGACATGGTGGAGGGTCAGCAAAGGAAAGGAAGATCCTTAAGCAGGTGGACTGACATAGTGACTGCTGCAAAGGGCTCTAGTGTGTCAGGAAGTGTGAATATGGCACAGGATAGGATGAGATGTACTTGACTCAACAATACCTAGCAACATAACAACAACAACAACAACAACAATTGTTGGATGAATTAAATTTAAATTAGATTATGGCAAATAAAAAAAGAGACCATAAAATATGTGAACAAGAGATTTGAAATGCAGAGGTCATAGTTCTGGCTATGGTGACGTGTCTTCAGTTCATGCTGGAAAAGTGGTGAGCAGAGCTGTCTCAGGATTTGGAAAAAACCCTGAAAATGTATCTCTCTCTTCTCTAAAAGAACCTCATCCAATACGCCTTTTGTCTCAGATATTTCTCTTTAGTGCGTTTTCAATATAAGGATTAATTTAACAAAGTGACATTCTTTTCCCAACAATGAAGCTCACTTTCCAAGTAATCATGTTGTTGTTGATAGGTGCTGTCTAACTCAGAGCGACCTTATGAACAGATCTGAAGCCTGTGTCATCCTCACACTTCCTGACACACTAGAGCGCATTTTGGCAGTCACTGTGTCAACTCACCTGGTTAAGGATCTTCCTTTCTTTTGATGACCGTCCACCTTTCCAAGTATGATGTCCCTCTCTCCAAGCAATAGCTACTCACAACATGCCTAAAATATATAAGATGAAATTTTATCATCTTTACCTCCAAGGAGCACTCTGGCTGTCTCCAAGACATATTTGTTTTGTTTTGTTTTGCAGTCTATGGGATATTCAGTACTCTTTTCCAAGATCACAGGTCAAAGACATCAATTTTTCTGATGTCATCCTTACTCATTGTCCAGCTCTCAGATGCATACCAAGAGATCAGAAAGACCACGGCCTAAGTCGGAAGCACCTTAGTGCTGAAACTGACACCATTGCTTTTCAATAATTTGGAGAAGTTGCTGACTGCAGACTTAATCAGTGCAATATATCTCCTGATTTCTCCAAAGTAATTTGACTAAATCTGTGGAAGAAATCATTGCACAGTTCTCACAATCTTTGAATTTATACATTTTAAAAAAGAGATGTAATCATTTATGTTCTCACATCTTTGAATTGCTCAAACAAAAATATACACAACAATCAGAATTGAGAAATTAATTTCCTGGTATGCCAGCAATTTTAGGCGTGTATGAAAAGTTTCTCATGAACTAAAAAGTCTATGGTAGACAGTTACTACTGGGGCAGTGGGAGTAGATGTGTTGGAGTCAGTAAGACTGATTCAGGGCAAGGCACGCTTCAGAGCTGTTGTACACAGGGTTGCCATGAGTCACAGGTGACTTGTCGACACACAGGAACAACGACAACAACAATAACAGACAGTAAATTGACAGATAACTTCCAGAAGTTTTAGCTGCATTTAGGAAAGGCCATGGCAGGGATCTTGTTGCTGTTGGCAGATGGATCTTGCCTGAAAGCAGAGAGTGTTAGAAGAATGTCGCTTTCTGCTTTATTCACAATGCAAAGACGTCTGTCTGTGTGGATCACAACAAATTAACATTGAGAAGAATGGAAATCTCCAAACAGTTGATTGTGCTCATGTGAAATCTATATGTAGACCAAGAATTTGTTGTCCAGATAAAACAAGAGAACATTGTGTGGTTTAATACCCAGAAGTGTATATCAGGCCTGTAACCTTTCTTCACACCTATTCAGTCTGTATGCTGAGAAAATCAACTGGGAAGCTGGACTTTATGAAGAAGAATGTGACATTAGTATTAGAGGAAAACTCATCATCAACCTTAGTTATGCAGATTACACAAACGTGCTTGCTGAAAGCAAGGAGGACTTGCGGCACTTGTTGCAGAAGATCAAAGACTACAGTCTTCAATGTGGATTACATCTCAAGATCAAGAAAACAAAAATTCTCACCACTGAGCCAATAGGTAACATCATGATAGATGGAGAAAAGATCAAAATTGTCAATGATTTCATTTTACCTGGAACCACACTTACCACCCTTTGTACTTAAAATTAGGAGATCAGGAGACACATAACATTGGGATGTCTGTTGTCTGGGACCTCTCCAAAGTCCTGAAGGGCAATGGTGCCAGTTTAAAGACAAAGGTGCACGTTATTCAAGCCATTGTGTTTCCAATCACTTGCTATGCATCTGAGAACTGGAAAATGAATATAGATGACAAAAGAATAAGACATTCCTTTGAGTTCTGGTGTAGAAAAGAGTACTAAATATCCCATGGACTACCAAAAGTCTTGGAGAAAGTGGAACCAGAGTGCTCTTAAGAGGCAATGATGATGAAACTTTATCTCATATGCTTTGGGCATGTTGTTATGAGGAGCTATTCCTTGGCAAGGGACACCACGTTTGGAAAGGTTGAGGGTCAGCAAAAGAGGAAGACCCTCAAAGAGATGGACTGTTACAGTGACTGTAGCAATAGGCTCAAATGTGCTGAGAATGATGAAGATGGCACAGGATAGGACAAAGTTCAGATCTGTTGTTTACAGGGTCACTGTGAAGTTGTACTTGGTTCAATGGCACTTAACAACAGCAATAACAATAAACTAAAAACTAAATATTTTGAAATTTATTCTAACTCACAGTGACTCTACGTGTTACAGAGTTTCACTGTTCTATTTGGTTTCCTTTTGTGTTGGGGTTGTTTTTTTTTTTTTGGTAGGTCATTGCAAAGACAGAAGAGGAAGAAAAGACCAAAATGGATGTCAGAAGAGACTCTGAAAATTGCACTGGAGTGCAGAGAAGCCAAAGCACAGGGAGAATTCAAGATACTAAAGAGTTGAATAGAAGATTTCAAAAGGCAGC